TAAATTGATAAGTTTTTGTGTTCAGCCGAAGCTGGGAACTTATTGATTCTGACTCAGTAACTTATCAATTCGGTTACTAGCAATTTTTTCAGTGTTTCAGAATAGCCGTCATGTTTAAATTCAAATTTACTTTGTTATGATAATTGGTTGTCATATGCTGCGTAATGGAACATGACAACCCAATCATTTGAATTTCGGGTCATCCGATTAGTAAAAGGTTTTGGGTCAACCGATTTGCTAAAATTCTGACCCGGTTGATAAAAATTTCAGGTCGGGTAGTCGGGTATACGGTTATCTGGATGACTGTTTGGATCCCTATAAATTTGTATAAGATCCAGGACCACAATAATAAATTGTTAATTTCATGCTATTCAGATTTATTTTCTAAGAATTTTTGAAAGTTTTATTTTCCGTATTTATAATCTAATTCTGTAATATTCTGTTAAATACAGAAACTTATCGACTCTAATCAGACCCTCATACTTTATAAAAAAAAAGCTTTACTTAAAATTCACTAATATAACATTTTTATTTAAATACATAGTTAACTAATTTTTTATATATGGTTCCTTTACTATTAATTAGGTTTTACTATATTTGTCTCTTGATATAGTTAGACCTCTAAATATATATCTAGAAACCAAACTTTAACACATATTCAGTAAACAATAAGAAAAAGTGCATTAATAAAAGTAAAGTATATTCAAAACAATTTATATTTGGAGTTAAAGTTGGATTACATTATTTTTAATATTAGTTGAATTTATATTTGCTAGCAATAAATATTGCGTCTTTACTTCTGATATTATTTCATAACTAGTTTTAAAAATTCTATATATTTTTATTACAAAATTTATAAATAAAATTTTAATTTAAAACCCAATAATTCTTAAATATAACTACTATAAATATGCATATAAAAGGTCCTCTTTGGTAGTAAACTCACTATAAGTTAGACCCAGGCACAAACTACAGGATCTTTGTTAATAATAAGTAATTTTTGCAATACTTATTATAAATACAAAATGTGTATATTGGTCACCAGATCTTGTATATATATATTTATAGTAGAAGCGAACTATTGCATGTATATACATACATTCATGTGCATGCATTTAATTACATTAATGCTACACGTATATATCTCATTCATAGTATGTATCTTAATTCCAGATCTAAAGCAGAAATAAAATATTAATAATTTATAAAAGAAAAAAGCTAAACATTATAATAGTATTATACTTAGCAAATTAATAATAGTAGTCTGGTGCAGAATTATAATTCATGTCTACTATTAAGAAGATTATATAAGTTTAAAATTAGTCTCAAATATGATTAAAAAAATCTGATTATTCTATGCTATTATTCATAATAGCTTAAATTAGAAATAACTAGTTTTTCAGTTTTTCAAATACAATTAAAAGTAAGGTTTTGCAAATGTTGCCATGGTACTGTTGAAAAACCAGTGCCAAACACAGGAACAGGCACCATATTATTAGTGATACCATATCTAAAACTTGCAGAATTCTGATAAAATGCAACCCCAAAAAAAACATTAATATTTAAAAGAAAATAATAAGCCAAAGCCATAGATAATAAGAATAAAAGAAAACTATACCATGCACTTGGGCTAAATAAAGTAATGCAAAAAAAAGCAATTTATACTTAAAAAAAATTGATATTAAAAAATATAATTAACAAAAAAAATAATAATAATAAAAACATCTACTATAGCACAATTAAAATCACACTTGTTATTTCTAACTTGCAGAAACCTTTTATTTATTAAGTGCTATTACTTACAAGCACTATTAAAAATTGAAAAAAAATATCAAAAAATACAAATATTTCTTTCCACTTCAAAATTTAATAAAAATTATATTTACAAAAATCCTCGAAACACTTTTCATAAATTTACTAATATATTCGGCTATTATAAAATGGCTTTGTTGGGCTCTGCATCTCTTGATATAAAAGTTTTATGTGAAGAATGCAATGATAAATGGAATTTAGTTAAAAAACTTTCTCAAGAAGAAATTAAAAACAAAATATTTAATTATTTAAATACTTCAGTACAATTGCGAGAATGTATAATACATGTTCTATATAGACAATCCTTGCCATCACAATCGTCATTTCCACTTGAACTACCAAAATCTGATGAACTAATTTCTTGCAATGCCATAGCACAGAAAGAAAAAAAAGAGTTAGAAAAAGAATTGGCCAAATTACAAGCTATAACAAGAATTACTACTAATCCTGAATATTATAAAAGTTTTTCTTTCCAGGTTTTTAATATACAAAGAAATATTAAAAGTCAAGATGATTGGTTAGATAAACTAAAAAGACATGCAGCAAGTCAAAGAAAATCACAAGTAAAAAAAAAAAATTGCTTGAGGCAGAGCAATTGGTTATAAGATATGATTTCCAAAGCTGTCTATCTTTACTTTTCCAATACCCCGACCTACATGACTACATACACTCCTGTATTAAATTTGAAGAGGCTAATGCTCAAAGATGGTGTGAAATCATCAAAGTCAGAATGATTAATCATCTTCACACTGCATTAGAAAAAAAGTACAATAAGTATTTGTCATATACAACTATATGAAATTATATTTTGCTCTAAAATAATCGTAACCTTTCAGTATAAGCTTACCATCATCCAGCTTTAGTTGGAATTATAGGAGTTAGTAGGAATAAAAAAAGGAATCATATTGATGGGCACTATTGTTTGGCATTAGTAAAAAATGCTAGAAACTTTGTCTCTGTCTTTACTAACTAATCTGTTATACTATCACAAGACGACAAAGCAAAAATATTTGTTGGTATTCCTGCTGTAGAAAAACATTTTGAGACAATACAAACAGTTTATGAACCTGTGTCAGTATCTGATCATGATTTTTCAATTGAATCTTCCTAAAAATTAATACTATCTGTCTATTTGGTAATCAATTCAAAGAAAAATAATAAATCATTAAGGGTTGGTTAAATTGCAATTTTTATTAGAGCATAGTGGCATCTTGGTTCTTCTTTTGCTACTTATATAACAGATATCTTATCATTGGTTACTAATAAAAGGTTTAATAATGTTTTTAGATTAGAATGTTTTTTTTTTTATATAATTAAAAACAGGTGTGATTAATATATTTAAGTTTAGATTTAATAATTCGAACTTCAATCATCGCCTGTTTTAAATTATGCTTTAACCTGTTTTTTTTTTCTTCTGTTTTTTTTTTCTTTTGTTTTTTTTTTTATTCTTTTTGTTTTTGTTTTTTCTCTTTATTTTTATTTTACTATTCCTATTTCAGATATAAAGATAAAGTCAAACCATTGTGGGTTCTTCTAGTTGATAGTGGGCCAGATGAGAATCCACAGCATTTTAAAAATATAATTTAATATTTCACTATCTAAATTTAAATTATTTAACAATTTGTACTTATGCTTCAGGCCAGTCGGCATACAACCCGGTCAAAAGGAGTATGTCATCGTTATCAAGAAAAGTCGCTGGAATTACTTTACCAATTAATTATTTTGAAAACCATTTGGATTCCCAAGAAAGTATGCAAAATTATGAACTTAAACTTCGAAATTTTCACCATGCTGGCCAGACCCTTGCTAATTTGTGGTGAAGAGACTTTATTTATAGAAAGCCAATTTTTGTTGAATATATTGATAAACAAATAAATCTCTTCTCAAATATATTATCTTCAATAAATGAAGATGAGTTAGAAGAAAATGAGAAAGATAATGATGAAAATAAAAAAGATAATAAAGACAATGATGAAAATAATGAATTCTCTGTGCCATGGTCTTGGATTAAAAATTTTTATATTATCTATCAATATTCCTTGAATATTTAAAAATGTGATAACCTATCATGCTGTTCCTCTAAATGAGCTGAGGAAACTGCTATATTATTGAGCATAAACAATAGGTTTTTGCTTCTATTAATCAAAGGAAAGAATGGTCACTACTTAAATGCAATTCATACTTTAAAATATTTTGATTCCATCAAGATCTCAACATACGACACCTACCTACCATCTTTTTCTGCAAAAAACTATACTAAATGCTGTTATACTCTTTATAAAAAATACTTACTACACTTTTTTTTCTTATCAAACACTAAAAATTTGCACATCCTAGTGCTATAGATAGACAAACAGACAATCTTCAACTTGAAACAAATTCAGCCATTGTCAAAGACTTTTCTATGCCTTCATCTTCAGTTAAAATATCTAATTATGAGTCAATTGCTATAGCTATTGCTCTTGATTATATATCAGAATAAAAATTTAGAACAGTAAGTTATAGTATAAAGTTAACTTGATTAAAACACATAGAGAATATTTTATATTAAATTTAACTTTAAAATTTCAGCTTTAGAATTAAAATCATGAAAATACAAAAACTAAAAAAAATTTTAAATATTTATAGTTAGAAGTATATAAGACATATGTATTTTTATTAAAAGAATAGATATATAGTATATATGTATGTACTAAATCTATATACATATTATAGATTTATTGGTATAAATACAAGTCAAAAGGCTTTTTACTAATATTTATGTAAAATGTACTTTGCTAAAGTAAAATCAAATAAATATAAATATAGTAGTATGTATAGTATGTAGTATATATATACTGTTACAAGTGGGATAGCCTTCTTAATTTACTACCTGCAACATGGTTTACTTTAGGGCAAAGATATATTTATTTATTTATAATACAATGCCTAAATACAAAGCTATCTATAGGTAT